TTATGGGAATCCTAATGTTCCAAATGCTGGCTACGTAAGTGGTGCACCCAGAAGTTCATGGAACAGTCAAGTTTCATCTGGCTATGGTGCTATGGGTTATGGGAATGCTGCTTCTTGGGGCGCTCAAAATGCTGGCGCTGGCAGTGGTGGCCCTGGATCAGTACCTGCTGGTCAATCTCCTGGTGGAGCTGCTGGTTATGGGAATCAAGGTTATGGGTATGGTAGTTACGGTGGAACTGATGGATCATATGGGAATCCAGCTGGGTATGGTGCTGTTGGAGGACGTTCTGGGGGCACCCCAAACAGTAACGTTGGTGGTCCTGGTGGAGCAGAGCTGCAGGGGAGTGGTGGCGGCTACATGGGGAGTGGATATGGGGATGGCAATGGAAATTCTGGGTATGGAAATGCAGTGTGGAGATCTGAGCAATCACAAGCTTCTGGAAATTATGGGGCTCCTCAAGCAAATGGTCCTCATGGTGGACAGGTTGGATATGGTGGTGGTTATGGTAGTTCTCAGGCTCGAAAAGCCCAACAACAGTGATTTGTGAACACCTTGGTTGCCTACTAGGTCTACATCTTTGTTTGTGGGCGTGTCCAGCTGTTTTCATGAGGTTCTCTGAAGATTTCTTGCTCCCAGCACCAGGGGAGTGGCTCAAATCAGATGATGCACTTTGGGAATGGTTGGATTGCTTAAATCCCAGTAGTTTGCACTATCTATTTTGCTAGTCTATAATAAGTAGCTCAAGGCATACTAGATGCCCTTCTTATTTAATGTTTGCTTATTGAGTGTAGTTCTTAATTCGGCGTGCTTACAATTATCTGCTAGATGTTCTGGAACTTTTCAGCTCTCTATCGTAGTGTTTAATCTACTGCGCATATAATATCTGTGTTGGTTTGATCTCAGATATGTATTTGTTTATGTTATCTTCACTAGTGCGCACCTTTTGGTCTGTTTTTGACTGGGAATAAGATGCTAGAGGCGAATTCTAGAACTTGATTTGCTTGATTTGATATGACAAGTAGGCTTACTGAGATTGAATTGAGAGTTATTAACTGATAGCAGTGGAGCTATAAGCACTTGGGTTGATCACTTCGTAAATGGGTAGCGTTAATCATAGTGGTAGTTGACACTTTGAAGATGCATAATCATTTTCCCCCTGTATTTGCCCTTGTGTTGTACAGGAGGAGATGCCCAAGTTCTAAGGTGGAGTCAAAGTGTCCACTCATGGCTGAACCTGAGCTTCCTAGTGGGGGTTGTTCAGCGTGGATTGTGGAAGTGAATTTGAAGAGGACTTGTCAGTTGGATTTGTGATTAACCCAAGAAAGGCTTTTTCCAGCTAGGTGATGCCACTGTCACCCTTTCTTGCAGATTCTTGGCATTGGAAGTCATAAATTTCTCGATCATTCCGATTTCATTTGGACTGATGGATATGTAAGACAAAAAAGCTTGCGGTATGTTGACTTAATCAGTTAGCTGTGCTATATGTCAAAGATCTTGCTACCTAATTGCATAGGCTAGATAGTTATGCGCTGGACTAGATTGTGTTCCTATTGTGTAGAGCACCAGAAACATTATCAATAGAAAATGCTCATAGATCTTGGAATGCCATTGATGGCTTTAATTACATTTTATGGCAACTTATCTTTATTAGGAAACAAGATCAATGTGCGAATGGTGTTTTGCTCGTCTAATTTGATGCATTTTCCTGCTACTGATAATGAGTCTTGTGATGTTTATCTTATTTAAGAGTTGCCACCACCCATGATTTTCTTCTCCGATGGGTGGTTTGTTTGTTTTTTATAACTCCGTGGAAATCCTCTGTTTGATTCCAAAATTTGTATTCTGTGGTTGGACGTGCCCTTTTGATTCTGATTTTCTGGAGACTTTTTCTGAGCTGTATTGCATCCATTTATTGGTTTGAGTGAAAAATGTTGGTCAGGCGTTTCAAATTGCATGATTATTTTTAAGATACGTGGATTGGCAGAAACATCCTTCACACTATGTTTTTTCCTGATATCTAGTGTGTAGGATGTTCTGTCCCATCAGTTTTACAGTTCAACTATTAGCAGCATGTTATTTCGAGTTGAATGTGCTGAAGTGATAGCAAAGCGGTGGCTTGGGCGTTCTGTAAATTGCCTGGACATTAGGACAATCATTGTCCTACTGTTTTTGTTTGGTCCATCCCCCGTGCTTGTGCTTCCTGCTTTGATATCAAATACTTGATTGTGGACAGAATAATATTTGTGTGGATGCCATGCGATTCGTCGTTTCTTCTAGTAAACACCATGTTTTTCTGTCTTATATTTCGAAAGAAAGCAGTTTCATTTTCATCAATCGTCACCTATTCAATTTAGAATCCGAATTGTCAGGGCCTTAAATTTGGAACCAAGCTACTTGCATCTCTTTATTGTCTTCAAGTCCCCTATTGATATTAATAATGAAGAACAAGTGCTCAATAAATTGCCTGGACATTAGGACAATCATTGTCCTACTGTTTTTGTTTGGTCCATCCCCCGTGCTTGTGCTTCCTGCTTTGATATACTTGATTGTGGACAAAGAATAAAATTTGTGTGGATGCCATGTGATTCTTCGTTTCTTCTAGTAAACACCATGTTTCTGTCTTATATTTCGAAAGAAAGCAGTTTCATTTTCATCAATCGTCACCTATTCAATTTAGAATCCGAATTGTCAGGGCCTTAAATTTGGAACCAAGCTACTTGCATCTCTTTATTGTCTTCAAGTCCCCTATTGATATTAATAATGAAGAACAAGTGCTCAATTTTTTTTTTTTGTTAATAGTCTAATTTTTTTTTTATGATTACTTAACTCCATCAAGTATGCGAAGTTTTGTCTGGAAAATGATGAAATGAGACGTACAAAAAAGTCAAAATACATGATAGAAAAGATAAACAATTTGAAAAAGAAAATAAGAATGTAAAGCTACATTTGCTGTACTAGTTTGTCCACTTCAAAATTCCTTTTTGGTCCTCTAAAAAGATCATTATCTGTGCATGGAAATATTGATACCAGTAACTCTAACCAAACTGATAGCCTGTGAAGTGTGAGATCAAACATTTTAGTCCAATTCATCTTCTCATCCTTTAAAAAACGACTGTTTCGAGCAGTTAGTCCCCTATTGATATTAATAATGAAGAACCAGTGCTCTAATTTTTTTAGTTTTTTTTTTTTTTTTTGTTAATAGTCTAATTTTTTTTTTATGATTACTTAACTCCATCAAGTATGCGAAGTTTTGTCTGGAAAATGATGAAATGAGACGTACAAAAAAGTAAAAATACATGATAGAAAAGATAAACAATTTGAAAAAGAAAATAAGAATGTAAAGCTACATTTGCTGTACTAGTTTGTCCACTTCAAAATTCCTTTTCGTTCCTCTAAAAAGATAATTATCTGTGCATGGAAATATTGATACCAATAACTCTAACCACACTGATAGTCTGTGAAGTGTGAGATCAAACATTCTAGTCCAATTCATCTTCTCGTCCTTTAAAAAACGACTGTTTCGGGCAGTCCATGTAGTCCACAAGATACGATATGCTAGGAGAGCCAGTTTTATGGCCAAAATTTACCTGTGGTCATTGCAAGCAACTGTCTTGGCATCTCCATCAAATTAGGCATACACCAAGCGAATCCAAGCTAGGCCATGGAATGATTCCAAAACTTTCATGAAACATGACAATGTAGGGCACAAAGCTTGATTCAGTTGGATTAGATTCCTGCACAACAATAGATTTCTCGTACAAATTCTATCTTATAGAACCAGCCATAGGAACCTGTCAATCTTAGGAGGAACAAGACTATTCCATTGCAAGTTTGCAAAAGAAAATGAACCCGGGAATTCCAGCTGGTCAATTAGATTATTGGCAGACCGAACAATATAGATTTCATCACTAGAATGTTCCCATCTTTTTGAATCTTCCTTGCTTGTATTCATGTTTTCTAATGACAACAAAGCACGTAGCTGTGTCGGTTGTACCTTCTCAGAAGGCAGAAGTGGCCTTGTCCATTCAAAATCCCACACCATGGTCCCTAACGTGTTTTCCCTCATTGCAGCTGAAAGGTTGTGCTGAAATTGCATGTAGTGACTTCAGTTGGATTAGATTCCTGCACAACAATTGATTTCTTGTACAAATTCTATCTTTTAGAACCAGCCATAGGAACCTCTCAATCTTTGGAGGAACAAGACTTCTCCATTGCAAGTTTGCAAAAGAAAATGAACCCGGGAATTCCAGCTGGTCAATTAGATTATTGGCAGACCGAACAATATAGATTTCATCACTAGAATGTTCCCATCTTTTTGAATCTTCCTTGCTTGTATTCATGTTTACTAATGACAACAAAGCACGTAGCTGTGTCGGTTGTACCTTCTCAGAAGGCAGAAGTGGCCTTGTCCATTCAAAATCCCACACCATGGTCCCTAACGTGTTCTCCCTCCTTGCAGCTCCCTTGTAATGACCCCAATCCTAAACCTCTGTTTTTGGACCTAATTACAACACCTCCAAGCCACTTTACACATTTTCGCTCCATGTGAAACACCACCCCACATAAACTTTTGGTGGATTGATGTAAGCACCTTGGCAACTCCCTGCGCCCCTGCGGCATCAGAAATATTGACATGTAATATAGTGGCAGGGAGGAGAGAACAGTCTTGATAAGGCAGACACGTCCTGCTAAACTTAGAAATCTTCCCTTCCATCTTCCCAGTCTAGACTTGGAGAATTCGCCATTTGTGATCCTGAAATACATTCGTGAACTAATGATATCCATTTGTCTCCAAATCCCATATACAGCATCACTTCTTCTAAGTAAGACCAGTTAGTGAATCAAAGGCCCTGTTGAAGTTGACTTTCAGCAGAAACCCTTCCCGACCACCTTTTTTGATGCGATGCATAACCTCTTTAGCTATCATAAACCCATCCAAAATTTGCCTCTCTGAAATGAAAGCTGTTTGATGAGGACTGATAATAGCAGTCATGATAGGTCATATCCGTGACGAGAGCAGCTTCCCAACAATTTTGTATGCACCATGAATCAAACTGATTGGTCTGAAATCCTTGAATTTTGTTGAGTGTGCGTTCTTAGGCAACAGTGTAACATATGAAGTGTCAACACCCTTTGGCATTTTTCCTACTCTGAAAAATTCAGACACCACATGAAATAACTCATCTCCAATCAATGACCAAGCTGCCTTGTACAAGTTGAATGTGAATCCATCAGGCCCAGTGAACCAATCCGTGGCCTTGTAGAACCTGGCTGTTTGAACAGACTAGAGAAATAAGCAGCAGCCTTAATTGTATGTGGTGTAGTGTGTGTTACCCTGTCAAATAAAATCTTTGTTATATTGTTTCTTCCCCTTCTAATAGTGTCTGTTAAGTGGAAGAATTTGGTGTTTCTATCTCCCAGTTCACACCGAGTCTGTCTAGACCTTTGCCTCCAAATGGCTTCCACATATTTACTCATTGTCCACTATTCAGAGCTAAGTTCATGCCATTCAAAGATCTCTTGATGACTCAGAGAACGACTCTCCCCATCCTTTTCCAGCTGCTAGAGTCGGTTTTGAATCTGTAAAAGCCTCTCATCCTGGTTGCCAAAAGAGTTCTCATTCCATTTCCGGATAGTAGATGCCAAATAACTAAGCTTTCTTAATAAGCTGAATCTGCCAGCATGCTCAGCACAGGCTTTAGTCCAGGAGAGTTTGAGGTTCTCAAAAAATAAAGGGTGCTCCAGCCAGCAGTTGAGAAACCGAAATGGCCTCCGTCCCCAGTCTTGACGCTGCATTCCCAACAACAGTTAACAGTGGTCCGACCAGCCTCTAGGAAATCGATAAAGCATCAGTCCTGAAAATTGTCGATGACATTCTGGAGTAGCAAAAGCTCTATCAATACGGCTCATCGACTATCCTCGAAAGCGAGCGTATCGATGACCATTTAAGGGATACTCCATGAAGTTACACTCGCTAATAAAGTCTCTAAATTCATTTGCTCCTAGCTGATTGAGGTAGCTACTGTTTCATCACTCTGATGCAAAGTTTAATTGAAATCACCAACTAAAAACAATGGTATCCCAAAGGCAGCATGCAGAGTGATGATTTCCTCCCACAATAGTCATCTATCCCTGATTGAACACCTGGCATAAACACCTACTACTGCACAAGAAATTAAATTTGTCTAAGCACAATAATACTATGTGTTATTGATTATGATGAATCAATAATGTACAATAATACTACCATCAGAAAGTTGTCTTCAGATTTTTTTTTTTCAATTTTCCTAGCAAACTTGGACTAATAGACAATTAGACTAGACCATTCTTTGCCTCTCCATTTATGCGGGGGAAAAGGCAACTAAACATGACGATCTAGAAAAATAAATTATAGCAACAATACCCATACTGAGCCTTTTCTGATTTTTCAAAGCCAGTAAATAAATAATGGCCTCTTTTTTATCAATTATATTAGTTAAAAATTTAATAAAATTAAGTTATGCAAATATTACACAGTTGACCGTTCTTTTCTGACTCTCCTCACGTGTGAAATTTCCTCTCAAAATAAATCACTTGCTTGCAGGGAAGCTCTGCTCAACAGTCTTCAGCTAGGGGCCCAGAGTAAGAAGTGACATCAATTTTTAGAGATAAAAGACAATAAATTTTCTCAAGCTCCAAATTGTCTATTTCCTGTTTAGCTGAAGCCCGTATACAGCTTGCCAAGGTCTCTGCAGTGTTGCCAGCCTAGTTGTGGTGTATTTTGAGGCTGAAAGTAAGACCTGACCTTGATCTTTCCCCATCACAACTCCTAGGTCACATCCCTTATTATGGAAAACAACTTCATCTGTATTGATTTTAAAACTGGAAGAGTTGGAATTCGGATTTTAGGCAGACTAGGAGATGATGCGGAAACGTCATTAGCACTCTTGTTATCTCTCTTGTGGTCTATGAAAGACATGTCTAGCAATCTCAAGTTGGTAAAAGAACACAAGAATTGAAATTCCTTTCGATTGAAGACCAAACTCAAAAACACTGTCAAATAATCAATAGTCTGGTTGTTCCTTTACAAGAAAATTTCCAGCCGAAGAAAAAATGTGGTGATTAGCCCCAAGATCAGAAGGCTTTAAAACCAATTAATGAAAAAAATGGGGGAAATGGACAATTGTGGGGGGTCGAGGAATGACAAAAATTAATTCCAGGACACGTACAAAATTTCAAACAGATATAGAACAGAGATCATCAAAGACTTGTCTGATGTTAGGCCTCTCATTTTGAGGAAGAATGCACCTGAGCGATATGGCAAGCAAATCATCCATTGCCTTCGTTGGTTCTTCCCCACCTGCAATATCTCTATCAATAAAGTCCATTTGTCCACTGTATGGAATGATATTCATCAACACAGTCCATTTGTCCACTATCTTGAGATCCTGCACGACGGGTTTTGTAATGGATATAGCACTCCTGTGTTCCCAGGAGTGCTATATCCATTGCCCACTGTATGGAATCAACCTTAAATGATTCATCATTCCATATCACGAGTATTCCGTCAACACAATTAACTGAATCTACCGTGAACCACCTAACCTTCGGATCACTCCAAATTCCATTTACAAAACCCGTCGTGCAGGCTCTCAAGATAGTCGGAGAGTTGCGGTGCTCTAATCTTTTAGTTGTGGTAGAATATATCATTAGCCTGCTAAATAACATGGCAAATCTTTCTAATCCCCCCATCCTTACTTAGTTACTTGTCCTACGAAACAATCCATTACGATGATTGTTATATCTAGAACAAGATATGTTTACTACAAGGCGTAAGACACAATCTTTTATTCGAAGTCAAAATATTTGTAGTTACATGCTCTGAGGCCTCACCACCCTTAACGCCACGCAGAAAATCATCTGACTTGACATGTTGCTAAGCATCATAGAGATACTTGTTCATCGTTTTCTTCCAGATCCAAAAAGAAAAAAAAAAATTGTAATTAAGTCAATCAGGAGTCGTAATCTTTATTTTATTTTCTTACAAGGTAAATACAACCTCATTAATAATAAGTTGTAGAGGGTGTTTAGAATAGTGATAGAAGTTTTTTTTTAAAATTTTTTTTAGAAATATATTAAAATAATTTTTTTATGTTTTAAAATTTATTTTTAATATCAATATATTAAAATAATTTTACAATAAAAAAATTGATTTTAAATTTTAAAAAACTCTGGTTGAATTGGTCAAACACCCCCATTAGTTTAATTGTTAAGTTGTATTTCTAATTTCTTGCCAATTATATTTATTCATTTTCGAAAAAACTTGTAAACTAAAAAAAAAAGAAAAGTGAACTTACATTGAACGGTCAGTGGAGATATGACATCCAAGAAATTTAGTAACAAAAAGACGAGCCCAAGCTTCTAACCAAGAACGTGCCATTTGTTTTCTAGAGGAACAATTTGCTGCGGCCATTAATGCTGCAAGAGGATTAAACCTCGAGCATGATCTACAAATCAACTTGTTAGGTAATCAAATCTTCTCTTGAACTTGTCAATATTTTACTGATCTATAAATAGGTCATTTATATAATCTATTTGTACACAGCAATCCCCATCTAACTATTCAAAACCTTTTGCTTTCGACAAACTAACTACATTAAATTAAATCAATGTGCATGTAAAAGAAGGAACATCCATGAAGACAAAAAATAAACTGAAGGTTAGGAATGACATAGCTGTCATAGAAATTGTATGGCTGGCCTGCCTTTCAATGGTTTGGTCCGTGTTTTCATGGACTTCGATTGGGACTTGTATAGCTAGAAATTACTTTCTAGTTCTAAGCATGGTATCCATGTAAAAATTATTTATAAAAAAAGGTGGGTGATGATATTCCATTGGGATAGAGAAGGGTAGCTGTTCTTGCATAGGAAAAACTGCGTGTCCATGGAAACATATTTGTTCATGAGAATTCGAAGAAAAAGGCTTACTTTCTTCTTTTTGTTTTCTAGTCAATGGAAGTGAGTCATTAATTAACATCTCTAGAATTAATTACTTATACTCTTGACATCAAAATAACAATATCAGTTCTGTTATTTAATATAGTGGCTAAAGATTGCAGGCTGGGTTTCCGCTGACAACAATATTTTCTTTCAGACCACATATGATAGGATGCTAATCCGTAACCCTCGCTCAAGGCCACATGCCGGAGTTTTGTTGTAATAGGCCTTTGTGGTATTCTGGCCTCTCTTTTGTTTTTAGTTCTATTATTTTATATGATATTTTTATTTAATTTTATTTTATAATACTAGGTTAATGATAAATTGATTTTTATATTATTTATCATATAATAAAATTAAAAAATTAATTTAATCAAGTAGAATTTATAATTTAAATAGTAAGTTTGATAGTTTTAACCTGATTTTTTTTTAAAGTAAGTTTGATAGTTTTAACCTGATTTTTTTTTTTTTAAATCTATCTAGCTAACAAGGTCATGTTAAAATAATTTAAGTTAAATAAAATATTAATTTGAAAATTTTTAAGTTTTAACCATTATAACAAGTTTAATATTAACACCAAAAAGATTTTTATAATCTAGGTACGTAATTTATTTTTTTTAATTCCAAAAGATTTTGGTTCAAGTGCGGGGAATAAACTAATGAAATACTATATCACCCGATAAAATCAAAATAAAATTCTTTATTGGAAAATAGAATCAAAGTTGTATTCTGAAACTTTTGTGCTACGCAAGGGAATTTCTTTTCCAAGTCAAAGGCAAGATTCTCACAGATTCCAGTTTTTTACAATAAAACGTATTGCGGGAGCCTTTACCCGAATATGCGATGAGCTATGAACAAAAAAAGATATCTTGTATTTTATTTTTTTAAGGGAAGATGTTTAGTTTAAAGTGTCATCATCATCTAGTCTTATGTAATTATGAATGGTAATTGATCAATTAAATATTTTATGATATGAAATTAATTATGCTAAAAAAAATTAAATATTATTACTTCTAAAATATCCCACTTATTGCTAATTTTGTTTTAAATTTTGTTTTAAATTATGAAAGTTATATTATGTTACACAATTAATAATTGACCTATAATATTTTGACTCTAACATTAATTAATATTCAACTAAAAATATTTTTAATTTTGATGTTAGTATATATTATATGAAAAGAATGTCTGATATTTATAATTTTGAGATTAATAAATATTGACTTTCAAAGTTAATTCTAATTCTAATATTAATATTTTTAACTCTAATGTTAGTGAATATTAAAAGTATTCTCAATTTTGGCATTGTAAAATACAAATATTCAAGTGTTGGTGAATATTAAGATGATATTTTCAATTCAAGAATTCATTGATATTAATCCAAGTGGGTATTTTCAACTTTGATGTCATTAATACAAATTGAAAAGATTATTTGGATAAAAAAAATTTATTTTTGTTGAACATTTAGGAACTATATTTTTATTTTTTTAATATTCAGGGTATTAGCTCACTATAAGTCCATTTGCTTTAAAAATAAGTAACATGCATTTAATGGTTTTATTTTGTAAATTTGAGTATGTTAGCCTAATGGGTCTTTTAATATAGACCAAATCCCCATGTAATTAATAAATTTGTTATTAAGTTCAAATATGCATGCAAAGTATTTTTGAGTTTTTTTTAATAAATTTTTTATGGCAATGCTAAAATATGTAAAGATACTATTTTGGAATTTTATTTTAATGAAGAGCAAAATAAAGGGTTTTTTGAGAATGCTACTAGTAATTTTTTGATATTCAACTACAGATGAATATGAGATGATCCGATAGGATCGTAGGAATAAAAAGAAGCAAAATCACTAAACTTTACTTGACTGGAATAAATATATTTACTGCAAGAGGTAAAGACTAAATCCTCTATTCGAAGTCAAAATATATGCAATTACGTGCTCTGATGAGGCCTCACCACCCTTTAGACTATGCAGCAAAACATCTGACTTGACGTGTACCCAAGTATCATAGGGATATTTATTCATCATTTTCTTCCAGACCATTGCTGTAGTCTGTAGATGTAAAAGAAAGCATTCCTTGTCTTTGGAAGCCTTATTTATTTCAGTCTTTTGCTCTCAAATTTGTTTTCTTCTTCCCAATACACAGTGGCTGAGCTTGAAAAGAACGAATGTTTTTGAAGAGGTTCGAATTTAGCCAATGGGCTTGAGAGCAAGCTGATAATATATCAATCTTCTAGTTGATGATTTAAACCATTCTTTCTTGTCAAGTAGCTCATAAATAATACCTTATACTTCAAAAAATCATCTCTTGTGAATTTGGAAACTTTTTAATACTTAAATGAGTATTACTTTAAGGAAAATATAATTATATTTTAAAAAAAAATTCTAAAAATATATATACAAGGAGGGGAGAAAAAAGCGAGCCGAGAGATATCTCGGTCCTTTTTATAGTCTATAGGATTATTTCTTTTCAAAGAAAATGAATTAAGATGTAAGCAAAATATCTTTGAATTACCATAATAAAATATTTTAGACTTATTAAAATAAAATATTTTAGTATAACATGATACTCAGTTAAATCTAGAAATAATATGTTTAGTAGCTCACTTAACCAAAAATGCTAAGCTATTAGCCTATCTTTAGTTACTCTTTTAGAAGAGAGGATCAGGCTTATTTTTTTATTCTTGCTACAACACACAACAGACACGATTAACAACGGAAAGGAGGCTTGGATGACCGAGTAATTAGAAGCTAAAAAATCCCTGATACTACGCCAAGTGCTATTTGTAAGAAAACCAAAAAATCCTGCAGCCAAAAACAAAAACCTTCACAATCAGGCTGCCATTGATGGAGGATGCTCTCTAGCTTGTCTCTCAATTGTACTTTCTAAAAGAACTATTATAGCCTCATCCCCATCACTGGGGTCAATACCTGGACCTAAACCCTTAAAGCTCGTCTCATCTTCCAATCGAAGCGTTCAGCTTCAGTTCCATTTCCTTATTTTTTGTATAAAAAATTTACAAAAGGATTATAAATAAAAAAATACAAAAAAATAAAGATAAGAACAAAAATAATGGTATAAATAGATTACATATAGAGTGATAAATATTAAAAGTGTAAAGAATAAAAAATAATATTTTTTTTTCAAACAAAAGTGTAAAAAAAGAAAAAAAAACTAAAATATTATTACAAAAAATAAAGATATGGAAAAAAAAGTAATAAATTAATAAGCCAAATATAAAATTATAAAAACATCAAATATAAATAGACAAAAATATGACTTCTTCTAAAGCGTAGTATCTACAAAAAAGATTTCTTAACTTAGAGGAGAATCATTAATTACAAGGAAGCTTTGTCTTTTTTACTACAAGAAGATTGAGACTATATATCATATTTTCCATCTTTGTTATATATCATGGTATTTCTGGGTTAGACTCTTTAGTTGGTTTGAGTGTGTAGACTATTTGTCAAAAAACCCAAATTATAGCCTTTAAGAATGGTCCGATCTAGTAAAAAAATAAAAATTTAGTGTCAGGCAATTACCCTTTTTTATAAAGGATTATACTAGTTAATTTGGATAGTATGCAACTATATGATCTTTCTAGACAATGATGAAATTTTTAACTTTACCTTTCATCGGTTGGCATTTTAGTTGAAGTTCTCCGTTAAAAAATTTAGCTATACAAACTTGATTTTTATAGAAATCCTAAATATATTATAAACTCCTCTTTTTAAATTCCTTGCTCTCTTTATATTTTTTAATTTTCTCTGTAATCTTTCTTATCTTGTAGCCCTCTTTTTAATGGGGACACTTTATTTATAATTTTTTTTTATTATTAAAAAAAACAGACAAAAATATAAGAAAAACTTAAATTTGTAGTCCGAATTGTCACCTATTCCATATAGAATCCGAATTGTGAGGGCCTTAAATTTGTAACTAATCATATCTTGATTGTCTTCAAGTCCCCTGTTGATATTAACAATGAAGAACCACTGCTATAAACTTTTAGTTGTGGTAGAATATATCATTAATTAACGTGCTAAATAACATGGCAAATATTAGAAGGTGATCGCAAGATAATAAGGTTTTTTTTTAATATGATTATAATTTCAATTTTATTCTAAATGACTTTTTACTTGATATTGTACTTCGCTCAGCTGTTTAAGAATCACAATGACCTTATGTATGGATTTTGTACGAGATGAAATTGTAAATAGTTTGATGAGATAATAAATTTTTTTATTAATATAAAAGGATTATTCTTGTTATGTAATCATACTTCTAAAACAACAATATTTGGCCAATATTAATAAATAAATAAATAAATATAAATGTATATATATAATTATAATATACTTTTCAATAGTTTTACAATCAAACCTCATACAAAAAACATATTAACCAAATATAATAAAATTTATTTTTTTCTACTATAATTTCAACTGCAGTTTTAATCAAATACTTCAAAATTAACAATAAAAATAACTTTTTATTAAACCACAACAATAAAAAACTACAACCACAACAATAATCATAACGACAAAGAGATTCTAAATAACATGGCAAATCTTTCTAATCCACCATCCTTAATTAGTTACCTGTCCTCCGAAACAATCCATTAGGATGATTGTTATATCCAGAACAAGATATGTTTACTACAAGGCGTAAGACACAATCGAAGTCAAAATATTTGCAGTTACATGCTCCGAGGCCTCCCACCCTTAACGCCTCGCAGCAAATCATCTGACTTGACATGTTGCTAAGCATCATAGAGATACTTGTTCATCGTGTCGATATGCCGATGGAAAACCTTTGTACGGATTACCTAATACTCCGACATTGCCAGGACGTGAAAATACAATCTGCATTATCATATAAGCTCGAATATTAATATGGGAAACAAGTCGAACATCTTTAAATTCCATATATATATTTTTATTGATTCTAATGTTTTATTCAAAGGAAAGGAATGCATGCAAACCTGTAATTACCTGATAATTCCAAAGGGTATACGACTTGAAACCAGCAGCGCAGTAGTCAAAATAATACTCCCATGTCCTGATGAACTTCTCATCGAATCCCATGGCAAGAATTTTGCTAAGAAAAATAATGAGAAAAGTTAGAAATGTTTTCCTTTGTGGGGTTGATAGATGATGATGATGATGATGATCTGCAAAGAAGATAAAAATCAAATGATTATATCTACCTCTTGTTTTCCAAGAAATTTTTCCTCCACCTTCTTAACGTATGATAGTAATGACTTCCTATATTTTCCACATGCTCCACACTGCAGAAACAAAACTTACATTAGGATTACAGAATAGTCAAGACAAACTAAAAATTAATTAGAAGAAAGCTTCAAAGTACTGTGTAACAAAGCAACTCATATATACCAGAGTCTTGATGCTACACCCATGGCTGATGTTATCCTACTCAATGAGGGCAAACATCCACCGGGAAAAATATATTCCTTAATAAAATCAGAACTTCGCCTGTACTCATCATAACGCTCATCTGCTATAGATGTAGACTGAGGTAAAAAAACAACCATTTTTACTATTTTGCAATTAGTAGAAAGGTAAAAGAGTTATCTAGGCTAAATGTTGAAAATGTGGTAGTGAAGCACAATGCTATCAGACAATGACAGGTCCCTTCCCTTATTTGTCATACCTGTAGAACAAGAAGCCCATCTTCTGCCAATGCTGATTCGCAGCTACTAAAAAAATCCTCCATGTATTCATGACCCACATGCTCTATCATTTCACTAGGAAAATAGATCAAAATTTACGACATCTGTCTGGGTGGGATATGATAGGTATATATTTAGCGAAGACGCATCTTACCAAGATACGATTATATCGTATTTATAGCCTTTAGGCAATTCACGATAATCACAGAGGAGAAGTCTGATATGATCCTGGTAAAAGAATAGGTTATAAGCTTCAAAATGAAGATATTTGTCTTAAGAAAATCAGTCTGAACAACAATTCAGACACAAGAAGATGCTATATATATCAATTATCATCCCATAGATACCTGCAGACCAGCTTCCTTGACTTTCATTTCTGCATATTTCAGTTGCTCCACAGACAGAGTGAGACCCGTGCATTTGCATCCTGTTTGTTTGACAACTTCAATTGCAAAAGTTCCCCAGCCACAACCAATGTCAAGAATTTCATGCTTCTTATCGATTCTTGCCTATATCGGTTAAAAAATAAATACATGATAGCATGTGTATCAGTTAAAATTTGGTGAAATAGTTAAGAGATTGTATATTACAGATTCACCTTTTCAATCAGAGCCGAGATTTTCCTCAACTGAGCTGTATCTAAGTCTTCATCTTCAGTCTAGAATGTAACATCGCATGCAAATAAAATAATCAAAAGCTAAGCCATGGCACGTGGTGGATGAGATTCCTGCTTTGCATCAAATAAAATAAAATAAAATAAAAGCATTGGAAGGTTGGGTTTCTGACCTTAAATATTGCACACGAGTACGCCATTGTTTCTCCCAGAAATAGAGAAAAAACCTCGTTACTCTAGAAGAACGAAATGAAAAGGAAGATGTAAGCCTCACTGAAAGATCCTTCATTAACATCAGAATTCTGAACATTGCACTAGCACATGCTAATATATTGCTACAATTTCCACACATTCTATTTGCCCCACAGCGTGGACGTTATTAAACAAAAGAATTAACAAGCTATGATCCCATACCAGGTCATAATGATGAGAGATGTTCCTGCGAGCTTGAGTAAGAGTATTTTGCCTCAGAACATGCTGAAGAAAAAACTTTGCTGAAGCAATACCTGCTGTAAATAACGATGGTGTCCACCAACCCCTATACTTAACCACAGATGAATATTAGATGATCCAATAGGATCAAAGGAATAAAAAGAAGCAAAATCACATACCTTTTCATATTCGCCTTGGAGATAGATTTGTTTGCATCTCTGTTCGCAATCAGAACCTAAAATTTAATTTTTTAAAAGAAAATTATTGATATTAAAACCGAAATGAAAAGCACTATATATTACAACAACATTATATATCTCACCATGATAAGATGTAGAAGACCTTGGTCTTTGTCAGCAAAAGAAAGATCTCCATCAATATAAGCATCTGCAAGGCCTATGTCAGCCCGCGTCGTTACCTGACAACGTTTTCTAATCATTGTAATGAAATGTTGAGAATTTCGTGCATTGCAACAATATTGTTGCTGATAATCTTAGCTGACAGAAAAGGAGACCCACAAGCAGAACGTACCTTCCAGTAAAACTGAGGGTTGTGAACTTTGAGAACAACTTCTAGAGAACTTTTTTTACTAGCTCCCTTGAAGGTGAAAGTTGCACCCCCTTCCTCCGTTAAGCTGTGACAGCACAGTCCAAATCAAATATTGACATTAAATTCGAGCTAGTTCCCTCGAAGGTAAAAGGTGTTAAATAATATATTAATTTTGTTTTATTTATTAAAAGTAAAATAATATTTTCACTTAACTTATATATTAATTTTGCTTTATTTATTAAAGATAGAATAATATTTTTAATTAACTTATATATAATCTCTTTATATTTAAGTTAATTTAAACACTTTAGAATAAATATATTAATGAGAGTTTTAGTTTTCTTTTTTTTTATGTTAGTATTTCTTTTATATTAATCTAAATTAATTCAACAAAAAATATCATTAAAATAAAAAAAATTATGACATCAAATTATGGTATAATAAGTAATTTTCGGTATTTTCTTTGTTTTTATTGTAACAAAGTCTTTTTTTCTTTAAATTTGTTTCTTTTTTCTTTTTTATGTTTTTATCATGTTCTTATATTTTATTTTGACTATTGATTTTATGGTCTTTTTAATAAACTCTCAATGAATATAAAAAGAAAAACCCTTAGTTTAATTGGTATCGTTGTATTTCTAATTTCTTGCCAATTATATTTATTCATTTTCGAAACACTGGTAAACGAAAACACCAAAAAAAAGAGTGATCATTTTCGCTAGTGAACTTACATTAAACGGTCAGTGGAGATATGACTTCCAAGAAATTTAGTAACAAAAAGACGAGCCCAAGCTTCGAACCGAGAAGGTGACATTTGTTTTCCAGAGGAACAATTTGCAGCGGCCATTAATGCTGCAAGGCTGCATGAGGGGTAAACCTCGAGCTTTCTATGATCTACAAATCAACTTGTTGAGTCAACACAACAGGCAGCAAACTAAAGAGAAACGGATTAGATAACGAAGAGGAAAGAAACATGCACAAAGAAAACTACAAGGATTTACATAGTTCTGACTTGGTCTACATCCACAAACAAGATGGCAATGATATTTTACTATGAAGGAGTATAAATTATAAATGACTCAATCTCTCTACTTGGGATATCCCAGGAGAACATCAAAAAATATACTCTGAACTCTTGTATACTAAGAATCTATATATAAAAGAGCTTGTTCTATACTTCTCACTAGTGTTTCTCTCTCTAACTTCTCTCTAAAACTTGATGATTAAAACAAGCAAATGAATGCCTATTTATAGTGAAGCTTTAGGGACTTAAGTTTGCAATTAAGCAATCTTCAAAGGATGCAAAAATAAATATCCAATTAACACAAAAAATTCAGCCGAATTGTGCCACCATCCAACTACTATCATTGTATGCCTAGTTGTGCCATTGCATATATTAGATTATGTGATTGGAAGTAATCTTCTCCTACAATAATGGAGTGATTATTAGCTATTATTAGAGATAGAATTCAAATTAGAAATAGAATATATTTTTTGTAACAATAGCATAAGTTTAGTAACTGACTCTTGTATATATATATTTGCTGTATTGATGAATAATATATTAGAAAACATTCTATTTTCTTTACTATTTACATGGTACCATAGCCGTCTCTATATTTCCTTCTTCTGTTTTAGGAACTAGAGACTGTTTTTTTCTTTTCTTTTCTGATCATAATTCTTTCTATTCATCATTACTACTCCTACCAATGATAATAGTGTTGTTGCTGAGAAAGCAAAGGTAACTTTATCAACACTACATATGCAAAATGTCTCTTCATTACTTACTCTAGAGAAACTTGATGGCATCAATTATACAGAATGGGCTTTGAATGCTCAAAATAAAATTCGGGGTCGAACACACTGTGGATTTATTTCAGGTTCAAAAGCTACACCTAATGACACCAACTTTGAAGAATATGAAGCATGGGAAGATGAAAATTGCTTGATCAAATCCTGGTTATTTGATGCAATGAACAAGGACATCAAATCTATTTTTATGCTTGTCAATTGCAAAGGAAATTTGGGATATGGCTAAACAAACATACCAAGTCAGTTAAGATGCCTCAAAATCATATCAATTGTGCTGTGAAGTAGTCTCTGTTCTCTAAAATAGTGGTTATGTTAATTTTTATTGGGGAAAATTAAAAAAACTGTAGCAGGAGATTGATGCTATAGATGATTATGTAATGAGTTGCAAATCTAACATTGAGATATATACCACTAAGGTTAATTCTCAACGGATTTATATTTTCTTGGCTGGTTTGGACTCATCACTGGATGGAGTTCGTGGACGGATATTTGCCACTATACCTCTTTCAAATCTTCAAGTTATTTATGCTATGGTTTGTGCTGAGGTAAACCGTCAAGATGCTATAATAAGTGGAATATCTATTGATGGTACTGCTATGGCTAGTAGAAGGATCTCTACACGGCAAGACAACAAGAAAGGGACACGTAAATGTACTCACTCTAATTGTGATAATCATGTTGTTAATACATGCTTCAAACTTCATGGTTATCCCGAGTAGCATCCCAATGGCAAGAAAAGTTTTGCCAACACATTCCTACAACAACAACCAGTGTCATCTGCTGCAGGATTAATTGTGCAAACTAGTATGATTAGCACTGCACTTAGCTCTCCTTCCTATACTAAAAATAGTGAATGGATAATTGACACAAGTGTTAATGATTATATGACTAATGACTCTTCAAACTTTAGTTTTTTATCCTCTTCACATTCTATCTTAGCTATTACTAATGTCTGTCACACGTATACAGCGTCGCGACGATTATCCACCCTCAAGAAAAAATATGGAATAGTGTATTTCTAGAAAAATATAAAGAGATAAGGAATTATTGTGTCTCTTATCAATGAAAAATTAAAATGGAAGTCGTCACCTAGTATTCTGGTCAGTAGAAACCCTAACTAGTCTCAGAGATCGGGTACAGAGATTGGTTGCGTAAAGGAAAGATATTGGCACCCTAAATATGCCTTATCTAAGATAGGCTGTATTTTTTTATCTAATAAAATCTAAAATCGTGTTGTGATTTTTAATTGTTGGTCTATCTAAAGTTCAAGACAAGCCCTCCTTTAAAAGGAGGTTCTTATCTTAATATAACAAAACCTAACCGTTCTATTGTTTAAAAAAAAATTAAATATACAGAATATGTATTACGTGTAATGTCGTACCCCGGATACTAAGAGACAAAAAAATAAATTTTTTGTAGTTTTTAAAATTTTGACCAATGTTCTCTTAACTTTAATGAATTGGTTATTAAAGCCAAAATACATGCTAAAACATTATTTTTTGGTGTATCCAAAAAACACTATGATTTTTTTAGCTTTGAGACACTTGGCCGTATGCACAAAAATGTTTTTTTCTTTTTTTCAATTTTTTTATATTTTAAAAGTTTTGATGAAAACCAAGTATTTTTAATACTAGATTTGTGTTTTTTGGTATAAAATATAGATCGATATTAAGCAAAAAAATGACAAATAAAAGGTGGAGAAATTATAAATATTAAAAAATATTTCTTTAATTTTTTTTTAAGTGGGCCGGACCAGGCCCAGATTAGTGGGTTGGGCCAGACCCGACCCAAAACAAATGGGTTGGTTACTGTGTCTAAGCACAGTAACCAACCCTCCATCATTTGCTGTAGAATGTGAATTAATTTATGTTCTGTATCCAAATACAGACGGTGGGTGAGCAAAGAAGAAAGAGATGGGTCAGCTAGAGGTTACCTAAGGGTGGCGTTGAGGCAATGCTACTGGCTATAGAGGCGTGGTGGCTAGCGATTTGCTTTTTTTTTCTTCTCTCTCTCTCTCTCTCCCCTCTGTTTTTTCTCTTTTCTCCTTCTTCTCTTCTATTTTTTTTGGTTTTTTTCCCTCTATTTTGTTCTTTCTCTCTTTTTTATTCTCCTCTTTTGTTATGTTCTCTCTCTCGGGTCGTCTTGGTCTATTCTCTTCTTGTTTTTTGGTCTTTCCCTTCCCTTGTTTTTATAGGCAAAAACAAGGGAAGGAGGCGTGGCTGGGATGGCCATTATGCTGCTGCCTCTCCATCGCCCCTTCAACACAGAAAAAATGGGTTGTATCGATGTCTTTTTGAAGTCATCGGGGGGAGCGAAGTCAATGAGAAATAGAGGAGAAAAAAATCTTCTTCCCCTATTCTATGAGTTTCCAGGGGAAGAAGATCATAGTACCGTTCAAAATGGCACCGTTTAGGGGTTGTTTGTTTATGAACAATGCATGAAACAATGTCGTTTTGGTTAAAATGCGTCGTTTCATTTAAAAGGAAAAGACGACAAAATATGTTAAATTTCACATTGGTCCTCAATTTATAATTTATTCAATCAAGTCCTTAATTTCAATTTCAATTTTAAAAAATTAATTCAATTGCATCCCTGCCAAAAATCCAACAGCAGCCCTGAAGTTGGTTGTCTTTTTCGCTTTGATCCTTGGTCTTAAATGTATGCAATTTGACCCTCAATTAATCAATAAACTTTTGATTTCTTCAATTGGGCCCCTGATTCAGTTTTAATTACAACTCTTCTATTTACACGCCGTTTCCAGTTTGGCCCTTGGTTTCAGATTTTTTCAATTAAATCTCTAAATGGCCATCAAACTTTAATATGTATGCAATTAAGCCCCTGATTTGACCAAATTAACTTCCAAAAATTATAATTTGACTCCAGAACTTTAATTTCTTCTAATTAAAGCCTGATTTGACTCTAAAATCAATTTTTCTTGCAATCAAACTCTCCAGAAATTCAATTAAACCTTTAATAAAATTTAATTGAGTCCATAAACATCTGATTTTGGACTTTTCTTACTCAAATTGATTTTTTTTTGTTAACGGGGCTGTAATTAGTCAATAAAATACTATAAAATTTTAATCTTTGTATTTTTTAACTTCCTCAACTAATGTTTTACTATTTTTAGGGTGCTCTAGCATCTTTTTTTCACTGTTTATATTTTTTAATAATATTTTTTTTTATTATTTTTCATGCGAGGACTAAAAATAAGTTATGACAATACCAATGGTGTGTCATCCCCTGTTACTAGTATTGGTAATGTTCATATATCCTCCACCTTATCTTTCTCTAATATATTGTATGTTCCATCCCTTACACATAATCTACTTTCCATTAGTTAAATAACCAATGCCCTTAACTATGTTGCTTTGTTGTATCCTACTTATTGTATTTTTCAAAACATACATACCAAGGAGAGGATTGGTAGTTATAGGCAACGAGGAGGATTGTACTATCTAGAGAGTGGCACATCATCACAGGTTTACCATAGTCTAGCACATATGATGGGTAAAAATCAATCGACAAATATTGTAGAAATATGGCTTTGGCATAAACAGTTTGGTCATCCATCATTTGGATATATTAGACGATTATTTCCATCTTTATATGCTAACTGCAAACTTTTAGACTACATTTGTGAGACATGTGCTATGGCTAAAAGTCATCATGCTATATTTCCTCTGTCTTCTAATAAAATTGCTTCACCATTTTCATTAGTACATTTAGATGTATAGGATCCCTTACCAGTTTTCACAGCTAATGGAATGAAATGGTTTATAACCTTTGTGGATGATTATACTCGAATGACCTAGGTATACTTACTAAAACATAAGAGTGATGTCAGTATAGTTTTCTGTCTCTTTTATCAAATTGTACTCACTCAGTTTGTCAGGACTATTAAGGTGGTACATTTAGATAATGGAGGTGAATACTTCAAAAGAGAGTTAACTGATTTTTTCCACTCAAAATGTATCATTCATCAAACATCATGTCTAGAGACTCC